TAACATGTGGTCTATCTTGGAAAATGTTCCATGTGCACTTGAGAAGAATGTATATTCTGTAGCTTTGGGATGAAATGCTCTGAAAATATCAGTTAAATCCAGCTGGTCTAATGTGTAATTTAAGGTTGCTGTTTCCACATTGATTTTCTATCTGGAGGATCTGTCCATTGGTGACAGCAGGGTGTTGAAGTCCCCTACTATGATAGTGTTACTGTTGATCTCCATATTTATGTCTGTCAATATGTGTTTTATATAGTTAGGGGCTTCTATGTTAGGTGCATAGATGTTTACTAGGGTTATGTCCTCTTGCTGGATCGATCCCTTTATTATTATGAAGTTCCCCTCTCTGTCCTTTATTATATTCTTTAATTTAATTTTATCTGATATAAGTATCACTACTCCATTTTTTTCTCAGCTCTATTTGCATGAAATATTTTACTCCATCCCTTTATTTTCAGCCTGTATGTGTCTTTTGATCTGAGGTGAGTCTCTTGTATATAGCATATGCAAGGATCTTGCTTTCTTATTCATTCAGCCACCCTATATCTTTTGATTGAAGCATTTAATCTATTTACATTTAATGGGATTATTGATAAGTGCTTAGTTATTGCCATTTTGTTATTTGTGTTCCTGGTGTTCGTTAGTTAGGTTGTTTTTCTCTTTCTTATGCTTAAAGAAGCCCTTTTAAAGGTTGTTTTTCTCTTTCTTATGCTTAAAGAAGCCCTTTTAACATTTCCTGCAATGTTGGCTTGGTGGTAATAAATTCCTTTAGCTTATTCTTTTCTGGGAAGCTCTTTATCTCTCCTTCAATTTTAAATGATAACCTTGCTAGATAAAGCAATCTAGGTTGTAGGCCTTTGTTTTTCTATGTATTCTGTTTTGAGTAGAGGGTCCCATAGATGTCTTTTAGTTCTAGTTAGCTTACAGTTTTGTTCAAGTCTTCTATTTCCTTGTTGATCTTCCTGGTTGTTCTATCCATCATTGAAAGTGAGGTACTGAAAGCTCCAACTATTATTGCATTATGTATTTATCCCTTTAACTCTGCACGTTTTTGTTTCATGTATTTTAGGGCTCTATTATTAGGTGCATATAAGTTTATAATTGTTATGAATTCCAGATAGGTTGATCCTTTTATTATTATAAAACATTCTTTAAAAAATTCTTCCTTGCCTCTATTAATTTTTATCTTAAAATCTATTTTGTCTGATATTACTACAGTCATTTCAGCTCTATTTGGTTATTGTTTGCATGGTATGTATTTTTCTGTCCTTTTATGTTTCATCTGTTTGTGCCTTTAAATCCAATGTGTCTCTTACAGATATCATATAGTTGGATCATGTTTGTTTTTGGGTTTTTTTTTCATTCATTCTGCCTACCTCTGTCTTGTGATTGAAGTGTTTGATCCATTTGTGTTTAATGATTTAATATAATGTCTGTAATTTTGTTATCTGTTTTCTATGTGTCTTATATCTTTTTGCCCCTCCATTCCTCCATTGCTGACTTCTTATGTGTTAAATAGATAGTTCTAGTGTACCATTTTATTTCTCTTGTTATTTCCTTTAATACATTTTTAAAGTTATTTTCCAGGTGGTTACCCTGGGGATTACAATTAACATCTTAACTTGTAACTATGGATTTTGTTTTGCTTCAAGTTTCTTCTTGGAATTTAAATAGTCTAGTAAAAATTAATTCCAGAAAATAAAAAGCTTTTCTTCTTATTGGGGAACTGGGGGAGGGGAACAGTGTTGGGGAATTGGGGGAGGGGAACAGCCAAGTTGTTGTCCTTCAAACTTATTTGTGGAGGTTGCAGCAAGCTCAGCTCCAAGTCCAGTCACACCACTCAGCTCAAGGCACTGTGTTCAATCATAGTTGTGGGTGGGTGTAGCCCACCATCCCATGTGGGAGTCGAACAGGCAACCTTGTTGTTAGGAGCACGTGCTCTCACCAGCTGAGCCATCCTGCCACCTGTTGGCAGCTTAGTGGCAGCTCAGCTCGGGTACAGCTCACTGGCCCATGTGGGGATCAAACCGGTGACGCTGTTGCTCAGAGCTCGCACTCTTGAGCAAGTTCTTAACCAGCTGAGCCACTCAGCCGGCCCAAAAATGAAAAGCTTTTCAATTCACAAATGCTGCTTAGGTATGTACTAGGAGGTTGCTATTATAACAAATACTTGCCTCTGATATGAACACTTACCTTCTCTAATAGTGCGTTCTGCCACAGTCTAAAGATGCTGAGGTAACTTTTATCCCTCGCACCAAAAGATGTAAAGAAAAACTGAAAACAAACATAATAAGGTAATTTTAGTGTCATTAGAAAAAGGGGCAAGTATCTGTCACAAAAGTCTGCTGTCATTTGCTATGGTCAAAGCAAACTAGTGGGTGACCACTGCCTAATTTATATATTATTTTTGTTTAACTCTTTGCTACAATAGACAAAAAAAAAACAGGTAATTGGTGCATGAACAAGGTGTCTTTCAAAATTATATCTTACAGAAAATACAATTTTATCAATATTTACTAGGGAAAGCAGCTTGAAATAAGCAGTTATTTTTGTTCATCATAGTTTAGCTATGAAAACCCATCTAAATAAACTTAAGAAAAATATTAAAATTTTATTTATTCTAAACTTTGCAGAGATATGATTTGGAAGCCACTTGAGATAAGTATAAATGAAGAACAGGAAAAAATACAGGGGATTTCAGAGACATATTTATTTTAAGGATCATAGTCTTCTAAAAAATCCAGAAATACCTAACCTCTACTAATTATAGATATAAAAAACCCATATGAACATTAAACTTTGCTTTGCTTTGAATGCTGTAAAAGAAAAATTAGCATGTTTCAATCTATAATTCTGTGTTTGCCTTTAGACCTATCTCTTCCTCTGCATTTAAGTGATTTACAAAGTAACATTTTAAAATAGGCTTTTATGAGAAAATATGACAAATGGCAGCACTAAATACAGTTTCTCAGTGTATCATCTCTTCCGATCCCCTAATTAGTGACTTTTCATGATTGAATGGTTATTTTTAGGAATGAGAAAGCTCAATTCTATGTTTGACTTATTAAATAAAATGTCAAACAAATAATATTTTGGGTGTTTATATTTTTCATATGAAGATGTTATAGTGCTATTTTCCAATTAGTAAATTGAAATTTTGCTATATAATATTCTCCATAAAGCAAAACTTTTTATAACAGGGATTTATCTAGGAGGTTTTCCAAACAGGATTACATATGTAATGTGTGATCTAATGATTACTAGTTACTGTCCCCTATTTCCTTTTCTTAGACCAAATTGTTTTGCCTTTTGGATTACAGTAATCTTACAACCCTGTGTTCAGATATGTAGGTAAGAAAAATCTCCTAGTCTGTCTCTTTTTCACCTCTGTGTTACACTTATTAATTCCCACTGCTTAACTAAATAACTTATTACCAACGTTATCCCCTCTTGTATACAACCACCACATTCTCAATTCCTTAATAGTCCCATCTTTCTGGATAATCTACATAAATTACCATTTTATTTTATCTCTTACTAGATATCCAACTTCAAAAATTTATTAATAAATCTTTGTTCAATAATAACCTTCATTTGGGAGGAGTTCTGGATAATGATATCTCTAAGCTGCTGGGGCACAAAACATATGCTAGAACCTAAAACAACTAAAAGTACCATGATTAACCCTCCTTTAATCACAGAGTATGGCAGAATTAATATTTAGTAATGTAGATTTTTCCCCCCATAATGCTAGAAAAAGAGATCACTGATTCAATATGGAGAGGTAGTTAGACCAGGGTCTCTGCAATTCAACTGCCTGGGCTCATGTCCTGACTCTACCACTCAGTTCTATGACTTTGGTTCACTTTTCTTTTCTTTAGTTTCTGCAAAATGCGAATAATAATAGTAGAAAATATTTTTGAGGAGTAAATGAAAAAATATATATAAAGAACTTAAGACAGTGTCTAGAACAAGTATGTTCAGCAAACGCTAGGTATCATAATTAAAATTAAAATGCCTGACCCTGAAATTCCATTATATAAATGAGAAATGGCCTATAGAAACAAGGCTATTCATTGCAGCACTGTTTGTAATAACAAAACATTGGAAATGAACTCATGGTCAAGGAAAACACGGTAAATCCATTCTGTGAAATACTATATAGCACTTTAACAAACAGAGATATGTCTATCTATATATTCTAAACTGTGACTCCAAGAGATAATGTTAAGTTCTTTTTTAAGAAAGGAGAACAAAAGAACATGTGTAAGAAAGCATTTACTTTAAAAACAAAGCAAAACTATATGTTTATATATATGCATATATATAATAACATATGTAGTATATATATTACACGCATATAATATATATTACATTATGTGTGTGTGTATATGTGTGTGTGTGTGTGTGTGTGTGTGTGTGTGTGTGTGTCTGTGAGTAAATAAAAAAGGAAGAAGGTCTGAAAGGTCTGAAAAGATACATACCAAACTGATAACAGTGTTTGCCTCTAAGAAAGGAATAGGATTAGGAACTGTAGGCATGAAAAGAAGATGTTTAAGAACTGTATGATGATTTTGTTAAGCAATGCAATGTATACATGTGTTAATTATAAAATTAATGTTTATTTTAGCTATTCTTCCCTTCCTGAACAGTTCAGCCCTAAAGCTGTTGGTGGAACAGAGAAACATAGGCATCCACACTACAGGTGAGGGTAGGGGTAGAGGAGCTGCAGTAGCCCAAAGGAGGGTATCAGACCCACAAAACAATGAGGAGGTTGTCCTATGCAGAGTGTTAAAGCCCATGTGGGAAAGAAGGGCCTTTACACATGGGAGTGGTCAGGAGCACAGTGTTAGAACAAGAACGGCATGAGGGGCACAAATCAGAGCCTAAGCAGAGTGACCATGTACGGGGTAGCCAGGTGTGGGTCTCAAAGCACTGGCATGGTGAAGAGTATGGCCACGCACAGAGGCAGCCTACAGAGGCACATCAGAGCCAGAGCAGGTGAGGGCAGCATGGTGTGACAGAGTCTAGGAGGGCAGTGGAGTGCGGATGAGTCAGAGGCTGAGCAGGGTGGGGATGGTGACTACACACAATGACAGAAGGAAGGGTGACCACACACAGTGAAAGACTGGCCCAGAATGTCAGAGCAAAGGCAGAGAACAGAGGGCATCCCTATAGAGGGGTGAGCTGGTGCAGGGTAAAGTGAACACAGGGAAGGTGCTGGCTCGCAGTGTCAGCCCAAGCAGTGTGAGGAAAGCTTTTACATGGTGAGAGCATCTACGTCACAGTGGGATGGGCAAGAGCCTGACGGGAAGTGTCAGAAACCAAGTCAGGTGAAAGGGCGTCCATGTGGGGGCAGTGGAAGAAGAGATGAAGGTTGGTTCCATACAGGCCAACTGATCAAATAAGTAAACGTATTAAGGATAATGGAAGCCTGGTTTCTCATAGTAACGGAAGGTAGTTACAAATATGAAAGGGAGAAATCAAAAATGAACTCTGTGGTATTGGGTAGGAATTAAGAGTTATTGGTGTGAATTTGTGGTTTATGATACATACACAGATAGATGATAGATAGCTAGATAAACACTGATTTATAAGTGGGTATATATGTGTGTGTAGTATGTATATGTATATGTAATTATATGTAATATATATATATATCATATATATATACATATACCATATGTGTATGCGTGTGTGAGTGTATATGTGTGTGTGTGTGTGTGTGTGTGTGTGTGTGTGTGTGTATATATATATATATATATATATATATATATATATATATATATGTTCTGCCCACTTAGAGGTCTCGGGAACAGTGATGCCCCAATAGCAATGAACACACTGGCTTCTAAATATCAGTCTCCCCTAAAAGAAACCAAGACTTTTTGGAGCAATGACTGATTCCAGGGCTGAGGCAGGGAAAGCCTGTAACATCTTGTACCAAAAAGCAAGGAAATGCTCAAACAGTGCTGAGAATAGTCAAAAGGACACCAGAGCCAACTTGAGGGGGCTTCCATTGGCCAAATTTGGAACAACTTGAGCATCAAAATAAATAATGATAATAATGAATAACTTATTGAACAAAACAAGAAACCATGAGGTCATACTGATATAAGTAAATCAATGAATAGATTTAAAATTTGATGAGGAATAGTATATTTAGATAGTTTCAAAGTAGCTTGCCACAAAACATTATTACAAAGGAAAATAGACTAACTTTACAGTCAAGTCTGGCAGATACCACCTTAATTAGGTGATCAAAGTGAATATCACCAGTAATGGCAGAAACTGATCATGTGTCATCTGATAGGATGTAATGGAAAGAACAGAGCATCGCTTCTGTGCTATTTCTGCCAAAACTGCATAACCTAAATTTAATCACAAGGAAATATCAGACAAACACAGCTGAGGAATAGCCTACAAAATACCTGACCTGTGATTTTTTTAAAGTGTCCAGGGCACAAAATTCAAGGAAAGACTAAGGGACTATTCCAGAATAAGGAAATTAAAACAGTATGCCAACTAACGTAATATGTATTTCTCAACTGGGTCTATTTGCTACAAAGGATATTATTGGGATAATTGGGGAAATTGAAAAGGGTTTGAGGATTAAACAGTGGTAATGATCAATGATAATTTCTTGATTTTGATAATTATGCTGTGGCTATGTGGAGAATGTCTTTGTTTGAAAAATCACACTAAAATATCTGGGGTAATGTCAGGGGGTAATGAGGCTTCAAAGTGAAATTTTATTCTCAGATAGTTCAGAGGGGGCAAGTTCTTTGTACTGTACTTGGAAGTTCTGTGTAAGGATGAGATTATTTAAAACTAAAATAAAACTTAAAGTGCATTTGAGAGAAAGGTTGAAAGTATCACAATTATTCAATGTCATGATAGCATTTCTCTGCCCTCTTCTATCTCTTTACTTCTCTTTCCTCTCTCTTCCCTTTTTTCTTTCTTTCATTTCCTTCCCCCTCCTTCCCCTTCATTTCCTTCCATACTTTCCTTCTTTTCCTTTCTTCCTCATTTCTTTTTCTTTCTCAGCATTATACCTCTAAGGTCACACACAGAGCCCTAATCATTTTTCCAGGTGGGTCTAGAAAGATTCTTCATATATCCCCACTAAGAATTGACAGATACTATAGGAGAAGAATAAAAATGATAGCAGTTAAAGATAACTGCCATCCTAAAAAAATTATAATGATTATATGTATATGTGTATGTACCCAAATCTCTGTTCACCAGAGCCATTTGGTTTTTTTTAGTTGCTATTATGCAACCATTATTGACTAAAAAATAATTATGCAATAATTGGAGTATTAAAAATAATAAAATAATAAGGATGTTTTGCTAACACTTACCCTACCTACTTCTTATAATGAAGAAATGAAAAATATGGGAGAAAGTTCTCTTAAAACTATAAAGTACAAAAAAAAATGCTAGTAGTCATTTAAAGTTAATTGTCAATAAGTATTTAAGTACATGAAAATCTACTATTTAAATACAATGTATCTCAGTTAGATATTCCCTATATTCCCAACACTGATGACCAGTATGAGGCAGATTTTCTCCACGTTATATAAAAAGGCAAAGGCACAAAAGTTTTTCACCTTTTCACCCTCTGTAACGATCTGGATAGCATTTGGGATGAGTCGAGCAGTTTTCTCTTTGGTCATGAAGGTTATATTCTTTAAAGCAATAGAAATCTAAACACACAAAAGAATGAAAAATTGCAAAATGGATTTTTCAGAAACATACATATATATACATATTATATATATATATATATATATATATATATATAAACACAAAATTCCCAGTATTTCATCAACATAATCTGGACTATTCAGTCGAAAACCTGAAGGAGTTAATAATAATAATAAGCACATGCTTGAATTCTCTGAGAAAAACAGGGTAAGCAGTCAGACATTCTTCCCCTCAGTAATTTTCCCCATCAGCTTCTATCTCTAACATTAGGATAAAGTGTAAAAAGACATGTGGTGTTCATGTTTCACATACACACACACACATACACACACACACACACCTCAGTCTGTCAGTTTAGACATCATTTTGGCAGTCAAAAGGATGTATATTTAAGCTTTTTTCAATCTGAAATCTCTTTTTCAAACTGTATTAAGTATATACAAATAGAGCTCAACGTATTAAGAAAAATATATTACACACTTCTACAACACATAAATATACTGTATTTACATATATGAATATAGGTATACAAATATATATAAATTTACTTTAGAATCTAAAGTACATTGTTTTTAGGAGGCCTGTATACATTTCTATCTATGCAATTATCTGTATCAACAAATCAAATCAAAACATGTCTTACTGTAGTTTCCCATCTGAAGATGTTGCTATGGAAACACAGCCAGTTTTCTGAAAGGTATAGTCGTCCCTGAAGCAAAATGTCCCTCTGAAGAGCACAAGCATAATCTACATACAAAAAATAAGGAACAGCTTAGTCACAAAAATCTGGCAATTTAATAAATCTTATACTATTTTAATACAAGGAAAGACATCACTCTTTGTTCATTAGTTCATACATTCATTCATTCATTCATATTCTTTGTGCACCATACACACTAGGGTTACCAAAAATGGATTTTGTCCTATGGAACACAGTCTAGAAGAGAAAACATACAATAATGATAATAAATACAAAAATAAGTATGGCAAAAGCATAGAGAAAGCTATGAGAGAATATAACAAGACATACATAGGTATGGGGGATGGGGCAGGGAGAAAGCGTATCAGGAAAAGTTTTCCAGAAAAAGTAATCTTTAAACTGAGATCTAAAGGTCAATAAAAGGTCAGCCGGACCATGAGGGAACAGTATGAGCAAAGGCCCCATGGTAAAAAGAAACATAGGGCCGGGCGAGTGGCTCAGTTGGTTAAGAGCTCGCTCAGGAGTTTGAGCTCTGAGCAACAGCAGTTCAATTCCTGGCCCGAGCTGAGCAGCCGCTGAGCTGCCAACAGGTGGCAGGATAGCTCAGCTAAAAAAAAAAAAAAAGAAAAAAAAGAAATAGCACATTTGAGAAACTACACAAAGATATCACTGGACTACAGAATCTGGAGAAGCTAGATCATATAAGGGGTCTCCAGCCATGGTAGACTATGGACTTGATGAGAAGTCATTGATGAGTTTTAAATGGAAGGGACATGATCAGATGTATCTTATTAAAGACCACCTTGTTCGATGGATTCAGATAAATCAGTTGGAAATTCAGGGGAAAACTGTTGGTGGCTCAGACCAGGAGATAATAGTATTAAGAGAAAGAAGTAGTTAGATACAGAGATACTAAGTTAATACTGATGGGGAATTGGCGATTAATTAGATGGTGGACAAGAGTGAGTGAGGGAACAAGTATGACTCCAAAATTGTATATATTTTTTAGTTTTTTTCAAAGTTGATCCTTTCCACCTCAGCACTAAACCAACAAAATCAAGAGTGTTCTCGTAAATGCCACTGCCTACTAACACGTTAATACCAAGATTAAGATCTGGCTCTTTCGCTAATGTAAATAGTATTGCTAAATTACCAATAATACAAGATAGAAAGGGCTGCTGTAAGGAGGTTTAGTTAAACTGATTAAATTTTAAAACTATATAAAATGATTAGCAATTTTAGGAAAAAGTTACTGAGATTATGAACCTCAAAATATTTAAACTTAGTCACGTTAAATTTCTAAGCAAATACTAAAAATTGAGCAAAGTAATTCACTCTTTTAAAATGTTTCCTTCAGCAAAACAAAACTGAGATACCACCAAATAAAAAACCTTAGTAAATAATTAAGCAGCTTAAGTTACTCATTTACTAGTATGAATCTCAAAAACAGGGATGAGGCTCAAGGTCACCTCGAGTTGTCCTGAAATTTTTATCTAAACCACTGAAACATTTTATTAATTTAATGCTTCCCAAATTTCAGATCAGAAATATCTGGCAGACTTATTAAAAGACAGATTGCTAGGTCTCTCCTCCAGAGTTTCTGATTAAATATGTCTGGAGTGGGGTGAAGAGTTTGCATGTCAAACAAACTCCCGGATGATGCCAACACTGCTGACCTATGGACCACACTATGAAAGCCACTGCATTACTTTACATTAACTATGTTCAAAGTATAGAAACCAACTTGATTATTTTAACTGAAGACTATTTAATATAGATTGACAGACTTTTTTCAGTAATCTTAAAAATGTATTCCCCAAAATAGGTGTATTTTTATTTAATAAACTTGTACCTCAATAAAATTTAATTTGTATAAAATGTCTTCCTAGCAATATATCCTATGCAAAAAATGCAAAAAACTTTTTAAAAGAAAAAGATTTTACTTTTTTTTTTGCTCCCAATTTTCCTACTGATAAACACATGTAATTATCAGCATTTCAGAAGGCAACATTCTACCTGATTTGAGTCACATTAGCAATCTGATTCATATAAAATGGAATAAGAGGGCCAGCCAAGTGGCACAATGGTTAAGAAGTGGCTTGGGATGCCAGAGAGCCCCGGTTCGGATCCCACATATGAGGGCCAGTGACACTGCCCTCCACAGCTAAGATGCTGAACAACAGCTCAACCTGGAGCTGGGCTGCCATGAGTCGCCGGCAACAGCATAGGATGCAGCCCCTGTGGCAGTGGGTTGCCATGGGCTACCGTATGTAACCAGCAGCCAGCGTAAGCGGCCAGCAGCCGCAGTGAGCGGCCGTCCAGAAGCCAGCGACTGATCTGCCTCGCCCGGGAAGAGCGCAATGATGGTGCCAACTTGGGCCAGTGAAGCAACGTCCTCCACAACTAGACTGAAGAACAAAATGACAGCAACTTGTCTTTTCTCCTTCCCCCAATTCCCCAGCGCTGTTCCCATCCCCCCAATTCTCCAATAAAAACTTTAAAAAAATCAAAATAAAAAAATAAAATGGAATAAGAAAATAATGTTTATGAAAAATTGTTTTATGGATTTTATAACTTTATAATTGATTACTAGAAAGTGAGAATAAAATTAAGTAAATTCAATAAGCAATAAAGGTCATTTTGATGCATGTGCTAACATCAACTTACTAGCTATTACAAGATCAATTTTGGCACAATTAAATGGCTCCATCTCAAAGACTATTTTACTAACTATAGTCTAACAAAGATATAATAGAAATATGTATAAAATGTTATCAGAATACAAATGGAGTATATCAGCACCATATATCTCTACAGTAAGCTTGCATAGTAAGTACTGTGCACATATTTAAATAAACAAGATGTACTATTTAGTTTTACCAAGGAACTTAGGCATATTTACCCATAAGGAAGATGAATTAAAAGAATGTGTTTTTAATTAAGCATTCAGCAAATATATATATGAAAGTATTCTTTTCTAGCAGAAATTATCTTTTGGAGTCCAGTAATGCTAACATTGCTTAAAAGAGACTTTGGGACAACATTTTTAGGATTGCTTTCAGATTTAATATTTAAAATACAAACGATAATCATTCTCATTTTTTATATTTTACATTTTTTGGTGTTATTTTGTTTGCTTTTTACCTAAGAAAACTGTAAGGGTAAATACAAATTGAAAAAGAAAAAAATTGGGCCGGCCGAGTGGCGCATTGGTTAAGAGCTGGCTTGGGATGCCAGAGAGCCCCGGTTCGGATCCCACATATGAGGGCCAGTGACACTGCCTTCTACAGCTAAGGTGCTGAACAACAGCTCAACCCGGAGCTGGGCTGTCCAGAGTCACCGGAGAAGGCATAGGCTGCAGCCCCTGCTGCAGTGGGTTGCCATGGGCTACTGTGTGTAGCCAGCAGCCAGCGTGAGCGGCCAGCAGCCACAGTGAGTGGCCATCCAGAAGCCAGCGACTGATCTGCCTCACCCGGGAAGAGCGCAATGATGGTGCCAACTTGGGCCAGTGAAGCAATATCCTCCACAACTAGACTGAAGAACAAAAGGACAGCAACTTGTCTGTTCCCCTTCCCCCAATTCCCCAGTGCTGTTCCCATCCCCAAATTCCCCAATAAAAATCTTGGAGAAAAAAAAAAGAAAAAAATTAATTTTCTCTGGTGCAAAAAGGGAAAAAGACCCCCACTTCCTTTTCTTAGAGTATTGTCTTTTGAGATGTGTGTGAATCTTTTTAAAAGTAAAATAAGCCTCTTGCATCATTTGTTGAAAAGGTTCACTTTTCTCCATTAAATATGCACCTTTGTCAAAAATCAGTTCACAATATTTGTATGAATTTTTATGTGGGCTTTTTTTACTGTTCCATTAATTGAAGTGTCTATCCTTTAGCATGTCTCATACTGTCTTGATTACTCTAGCTTCAGCATAAGCCTTAAAATCGAGTAGTGTGTGTCTTCCAGCTTTGTTCTTTCCTACACACATGGAAAAGATCTAATTTTTTAAACATCTAACAAGCTACTTCAAGTTAACAAAAAAACAGCCACTATAAAAATTGGGCAAAGTTTATGAAAAGAAAGCTTCACAGAAAAAGAGATAATGGTTTATACACATATAAATAGATGTTCAACCTCCTTCATAATTAAAGAAATGCATATTTAAACAATGATTATGTAGCATTCCAAAATACCAAATTTTGCTAAAGCAAAGTTTGTGAGTTGTGGCAAAACAGGGACTTACTACAAACACTGCTGATGAGAATACAAGCTGGTGCAGCCTTTTTGGGTTGTAAATTGGCAACAATAAACTTTAAATGCTCATTACCTTTTTGTCAAAATTCCACCATGGAATTTATCCTATGTGTGCATATGTATGATAAAACAAGTGTACAAAAAGATTCAATGTAACATTAGTAGTCATAGTAAAAGACAGGAAGCGATCAAAATGTCCATCAATAGGGGATTTGTTATATAAATTATGGTGCAAAATTCATTCAATTGAATACCAGGCAACCATGAAAAGAATGAAGTGGATCCTAAGTAGTGCTAATAGAAAGCTCTAAACATATTCAAACAGTAAGCACAGAGTGCTCCCACTTAAGTTCTGTTAGGAATATGTGCATATTCCCTTTGAAGTGCATACAGAAAATTTCTGGAAATATACATAAGAAATTATTTAAAGTGATTATCACCAGAAGAATGTTGGAGTGATCCTTGTTAGAAGGGTCACTCATTTTTCACTATATGCCTTCTTATAGTACTTGAACATTTTATCATGAGAATATATTCCTTTCAAATGTTCTTAAAAGTTGTTTTAATTCATTATTATAATTTTTTTTTTTTTTTAGCTGAACCATCCTGCTACCTGTTGGCCGCTCAACGGCTGCTAGGCTCAGGCCGGGACTCGAACCACTGTTGCTCAGAGCTCAAACTCTTGAGAGAGCTCTTAACCAACTGAGCCACTCAGCTGGCCCTTCATTATTATAATTTTTAAAGTACTGAGCTGAACTATCTAGAAATTCAATTTTGTTGTATTGAATATTTCCCAACAGTATCAGAAATATGAGAAAGTTCTATGAATAAATGGTTTAAATAAAATATACACTAAAACATAGTTCTATATTTTTATCATAAAGTATCTATATTAAGCTTATATTAAAAATAAGGCACTTTTGTAAGAAAAATGACTACATTTGTCCTCTTAAAGTCTATTTCCCAAAAAAATCTATCTGAAATATTATATGAGTAATAATATAACCCTAGAAAATTCTATAAAATTGCTCTATAATCTGGTAAGGAGTACATTTTTCTGGGGAAAAATAATATAAACTGAACATCAAATTTAAATTTTCCCTACAAAACCATATGAAATAAGCACTAGAAGAAATTGTGACAAATCATTTCCCTTTAGTTCTATATTCTTAGTCAATACTTAATATTTTTATAAGTCAGAAATCACTCCTCCTCAAATTATAACTTAGTTTTACATTGTCTAACTATGAATGAAAACATGCGCTTATCTTGAGAAATATTTTCTATCTAGCACAAAGGTTGAAATTTTTTATAACATTGTCACTCATGAGATCTATTTTGATAATGAGGTAGTACAATTTTTTTTGCAACTTCCTGTCTTTTTTACCTGCTATCAGCTTTTCTGTATCAGGTAGATGTATGAACTGTCTTTTGTATTCCTCATTCCTGTCTTTATAGGTGAAACTTGAAATCTGCAACAATAAAAAGATTACATTTCTGTTTAATTACAATCTTCATTAGACGAACTGAAATGTAATGTCTTAGAAAACAAATTTAAAATGAACTTTAAAATAATATCCTTTTCATGGAACATTATGTATGTCTTTGTATGAAAAACCACATAAATAAACCTTTCAAAAAACACCAAAAGGAAGCTTCCAGCATGATGGAGTAAGAATTTGGAAAACCCTCTCTGCAAAAGCAAAATTATAGCTGGAAAAAAAAGCTATCAAAAACAATCATCTCAAATTATTGGAAGTTGACCCAAAGCATACAATAAATTGAGAAGTATCTATTCATGAAAATATATTGACCTTAGGAACAGCAGAAGTCTGTGGCACTGTTTCCTTAGCCAGTTCCCATTACTCTTTCTCCCCCATTAGTTAAGTCAATGTAGTAGTTCTAAGAAGTTGGAACAGGCCAGGAAAACTAGCAGTTACTCTGAGAGAGAAGGGCTAAGTTGATTCAGAGTGAAGAGCAGAAAACCTATGCCCAGAATTGAAATGAAAAATTCTGAAGCTGTCCAAGTGAGTATGAAGTTGTAGTCCCAATGAGAGCAAGAAACAAGCAGACTGGCAGATTAGCAGAAGACTTAACAAAAGAGGAGAGACAGTAATAGATGGGCTTGATAAACCCTCCATGTATTCGTGGAAGAACAGAGACTGCATACATATGCAGCAGAGATTTGAGAGACCCTAAACTATCCACTCGTTCCTGGCTAGAGACACAAGAAGTCTCAGAGGAACATGAAAACTGAGACAAACCTGAAAATGTCTGAACTGTGAATGTACTCCCCAATCTACACACAGATCTGTCGGCAGAAAGAAAAAGCCTTACTTACAGAAAGAAAAGGCTCAAATTGTATTTAAACACAATTTCTGACCAATTATTGGCTGACATAAAGGGTAACTATTGGGCAGCCATCCTTAAAAATAAAAATAACAACAATAATAAACTGAGCAGACATTTGTTCTCACGTGTGACATGACAAACTGATTTCACAGATTTACTCTAGGCAAGTTATTAAACAAACAAAAATCAGCAATGACAAGCTTTAGGGGCAGGGAGGGTGCAATCAGAATCCACAGTTGCTACAATATATTATCTAAATTATACAGTTTTCAATAAAAATTGTGAAACATACAAAACAAACCCAGAAATATTTGACTCATACTAAGGAAAGAAAAAATCAGGCAATAGTCTTTCAGGGTTCCCATGTACTGGACTCAGCAGACAATGACATCAAAGCAGTCAAAAAACTAAAGAGAACCATGCTTACAGAATTCAAGTATGACAATAATACCCCACAAGTAGAGAATCTCAACAAATAGATTTTTTTTTTTAATTTAAGAAAAAGAAAGACATTCTGGAGTTGAAAACTACAATCACTGAAATAAAAATATTCACTAGAGGGACTCAACAAAAGATTTAAAATGGCAGAGAAAGAACCAGTGAACTTAAAGCTAAATTAATAAAAATTATCCAATTTGAAGAACAGAGGTGAAAAAATTGTAGAAAATGAATACTCAGAGACCTGTGTGACAACATTAACTAACTCAAAATATATGTAATGGGAATATTAGAAGGAAAAGGAGAGGCAGAAAAATATTTGAAGAAATGGTTAAAATTTTCAAAATATAATGAAAAACATTAATCTATACATCAAAGAAGCTCAATGAACTGCAAATAGGATAAAGAAAAGAGAATCACACTTAGACATATCACAGTTAAATTGTTGAAAGACAAAGAAGAACTTGAAAGCAGCAAGAGAAAAATGACTCATACACAGGTATAAACCAGTATCATTAAAGGCTGACTTCTCATTAGAAAACAATGGAGACAGCAGTCATGCCTTAAAGAAACAATAATGCAAATCCTTCAGGCTGCAAAGAAATGACACAACATGGTAATTCAAATTCACAAGAGGAAATGAAGAGCACCAGAAATGAAAATATGTGGGTAAATATTTTTAAAAGTATATAAATCTATTTCCCAACATCTCTCTTAATGTCTTTAAAAGACCTAAGAATCTATAAAGCAATAACTATAATGCTGTATTGTTGGGTTTATAAGATATATAGGAGCAGAGCTGGCCAAGTGACGCAATGGTTAAGAACTGGCTTGGGACGCCAGAGGGCCCCGGTTCAGATCCCACATATGAGGGCCAGTGACACTGCCCTCCACAGCTAAG